TCCTCTTAAAGCCCTCAGAACCACGCCCCTGCCCACCATTATTAATCCATTCGCTAGGCATGGTTCTACAATCTAATCACCTCTTCAAGGCTCCCCCTTTCAATTACCATAATAGGATCTCCCACCCTCAACAGTTACAGTGATAATTAAGCTTCTAATATATAAACTTTGGGGACACAATTCAATCAATCCACAGTAAGGAGGTAGAAAAAAGATAAGAACAATACTTTTTTCCTCAATCTTTGCAGTTGCCATAACATGCAAATAAAATAATGACAACATTATGCAAGACTCATTCAAAAGCTGCAACTTATTTATAGGTATACCAAAAGCTGTACATATTTAATAAATAAAATTTGATAAATTTGGACATATGCTTATGTATGATACACTTACACAATCAAGGTAATAAACATGTCCATCACTTCCAAAAGTTTCCTTGTGTCCCTTTGATTTTTTTTGTGTGTGGTGAGAACACAAATGAGATCTATCCTCTTAATAAACTTTTATTTTTTTGTTTTAACTTCTCAATATACATTGTAGTTGATTTTCGTGACACTGTATCTGTCCCTCTTTTCCGCTCCCTCTCTCCCCTTCCCCCATCATATCTGTTCGCTTTTAGTAAACTTTAAATGCAGAACACCATATTGTTAACTATAGGCCCTATGTTGTACAGCAGATATCTAGAACTCATGAATCTTGTGTAACTGTAACTTTATACCCACTGAACAACATATCCTACTTTCCATTTCCCCCCATCTCCTGACAACCATCATTCTACTTTATGCTTCTATATATTTGAATATTTTAGATACCTCATATAAGTGAAATCATGCAGTATTTGTTTTTCTGTGGCTAAGCTATTTCGTGCAACGTAATGTTTTACACATACCTCCATATTGTAGCAAATGGTAGGACAGTCTTCTTTTTTTAAGGCTGATATTTCATTGAATGTATACACCACATTTTGTTTGTCCATTCATCTGTTGATAAACATTTGTATTATTTCCATATCTTGGCTATTGTGAATAATGTTGCAATAAACATGGCGATGCAGGTATCTTTTTTTGAGATCCTGATTTCAGTTCTTTTGGGTATATATCCAGGAATGGGATTACTGGATCATATGGTAGTTCTGTTTCTAATTTTTTGAGAAAACTCCATACTGTTTTCCATAGTGGTTGTACCATTTATATTCCCACCAACAGTGTCCAAGGCTTCCAATTTCTCCACATTCTCTCCAACACTTATTATTTTTTTTGATAATAAATAGCTTTCCTAACAGGCATGAGGTGATATCTCATTGTGGCTTTGATTTGTGCTTCATTGATGATTAGTGATGCTTAACATTTTTTCATATACCTGTTGGCCATTTGTAGGTCTTCTTTGAAGTAATGTCTATTCAGGTCTTTTGCCCATTTTTTTTTTTTTTTTGTCTTTTTTTTCGTGTCCGGCAACGAACCGCAACCCTCAGTGTCGCGCCCGTACCGGACCGGGACCGGCAACGGGATCGCAACCCTCGGTGCTGCGCCCGCCCCTCGCTCAGCCAGTGAGCGGGAACCGGTCTGTATGTGGGATCCGAACCCTTGGCGGGAGCGCCACCGCGCTTCCCAAGCGGCACACTGTAGCAGTGCGCCACCGGGCCGGCCCATTTTGCCCATTTTTAAATATAGTTACTATTATTATTTTTTTTATAATTGAGCTTTAGGAATTCCTTTTATATTTTGGAAATTAACTCCTTATTAAATATATGGTTTGTGGGTATTTTCTCCAATTCTACTGGTTACCTTTTTACTCTGATAATCATTTCCTTTGCTGTGCTGAAGGTTTTTGGTTTGAAGTAATACCCCTTGTCAAATTTTACTTTTTTTGTTGGGTAATGGGCATAAAGAAAAATCATGATTTGTATTAATGAATATGCTAATAATAATTTTAGAAATTTGCTTTTTTTGCCTATGCTTTTGGTAGCATATCCATGAAATCATTGCCAAGACCAATGCCATGAATATTTTCCTCTATTTTTTCTTTTAGGAATTTTATAGTTTCAGGTCTTACATTTAAGTTTTTAATCCATTTTGAGGTAATTTTTGTGTATGAGTAAGAGAGGGTCCAATTTCATTCTTCTGTGTGTGATTATCCAGTTTCCCCAGCATCATTTGTTGAAGAGACTGTCCTTTCCCCATTATGTACTCTTGGCACCCTTGTTAAAGATCAGTTCACTGTATACATGTAGGTTTATTTCTGGGGCTATCTATTCTGTTCCATTAATCTATATGTCTGTTTTTCTGTCAGTACCATACTGTTTTATTTACTGTAACTTTTAAATACATTTTGAAATCAGGACTTGTGATGCTTCCAGCTTGTTTTTTTCCTCAAGGTTGCTTAGGCTATTCTGGGTCTTTTGTTTTTCCATATGAACATATATATATATATATATATATATTTAATTGAAGCATAATTAATTATACATATTTTTGGGGTACAGTGCTGACTACCATCACCTGTGTACAACATGTGATGATCCAATCAATACTATTAGCATATTCATTATTAAAAATTGTAATTATTCTTTGTGCCCTTTACCTAATATCTTCCCAATCCCCTTCCCTCCTCCCTTCCCACCTCTAGTAAATATAGATTTGTTCTCTCCTTCTGAAAGTTCAACATATTATTGTGGTTCTTTGTCTTCTTTTCTTTTCTTTACCTTGCCTCTCTTCCTTCCTTTCTTCCTTCCTTCTTCTTTCTTCTTTCCTAGCACCCACTTATGAGTGAGAACATGCAGTATTTTTCTTTCCGTTTCTGGCTTATTTCACTTAACATAATTTTCTCCAAGCTCATCCATATTGCTGCAAGTGGCAGAATTTTATTCTTTTTTTATGGCTGAATAGTATTCCATTGTATATGTATATACCACATTTTCCTTATCCAGTTGTCTGTTGATGGATATTTAGGTTGATCCATATTTTGGCTATTGTAAATAGAGCTGTGATGAACATGGGAGTGCAGGTATCCCTTCAACATGATGACCTCCATTCCTTTGGGTATATATCTAGAAGTGGGATCGCTGGATCATATGGCAGTTCTATCTGTAGTTGTCTGAGAAACAACCATACTGTTTTCCATAATGGCTGTACTATTTAACAGTCCCACCAACAGTGTAGAGGGGTTCCCCTTTCTTCACATCCTTTCATGATAAAGCAAATTAGGTATAGAAGGAAAGTATCTCAACACAATAAAAGCCATATAATAAAAGCCATATTGGTTTGTATATCACAAACCGATCACCAATATCATCCTGAATGAACAGGAACAGACAAGGATGCCCAGTATCACCACTCCCATTTAATATAGTATTGGAGGTACTAGCCAGAGCAATCAGGCAAGAGAAGAAAATAAAAGGCATCAAGACTGGAAAAGACAAAGTCAAACTGTCTCTGTTTGCAGATTACATGATCTTATATGTGGAAAAACCTAAAGACTCTACCAAAAAACTCTTAGAGCTGATTAACAATTTCAGTAATCTTGCAGGATATAAAATCAACACCCTCAAATCAGTAGCATTTTTCTACTCTGATAACAAACTAGCAGAAAAAGAAATCAAGAAAACAAGCCCATTTACCATAGTCACCAAAAAAACAACAACAAACAACAACAACAACAACAACAACAACAAAAACAACGTAGGAATCAATTTAAATTCCATTTGAATTTTAAGGTTTATTTTCTCTTTCTATAAGAAATGCCATTAGGACTCTGATGGGAACAGCATTGAATCTGTAGATCACTTTGGGCAGAATGGACATTTTAACAGTATTAAATCTTCCAACCCACGAATGTGGATGCCTTTCCACTTATTTCTGTCTTCTTTAATTTCTTTCATCAATGTGTAGTAGCTTTCAGTGTACCAGAAACAGCAATTTAGAGAAGAGACTATTAAGCAAAGAGTTAGGACCCTGTCCTCAAGGAGTCACCATCTGATGTGGGCAGTAATTACTTCTCTAATTATAGGGGCTAATTTTACCTGAGACGGTAATACCAATTACAACTATTTGCTACAGGTCTACCACTGCTGACTTTGTAGACCCTGTGAACGAGTTTATTGAAAGCAATAATTGTCATGAGTTAGTCACTGTATTTAGGAATAGGAGAAACGAAGGAATTGGAGATCCAGAATCTAGAGAATTGTCACCTGAGAAATGGATTTTGTTGTAGTCTTGAAGATATTAAGAACCATTTAAGAAAACATAAGAGGAAGAGTAGCCAAAAGAAAGCCAAAAGAAAGCCAAAAGAAAGCCTCTCTCCTCTATGACTCTTTCTATACCAAATTAGAAATTCTACTGGGTTCACAGGTTCTTTTTATTAACTTCCTCATAATGAGTTGGAAGGTTACCCATAACATAAACAAACAAACAAACAAACCAACCAACCCCTTATTCTCCTGTTAGTATGATTCTTAGCTGTAATTTTCCAGAGTGAGTAAAATCCAGTATCAATGAACACAGTGAGGAAAGGATAAAGAAGTAGCAGCTGGAAGCCCAAGCATGGCTGATATGGGGAGAGGGAGGTTGGATGTAGTGATCAGTTTACTTATGACTATGCTATTTGTTTAGCTCTGAGACGTCAGAAAGTAGTCATAAAACCCAGAGAGTTTGGGGGTGGGTTGAAGAGGGAGAGGAAAGAAGAGGGAGGTGGTGGGAGTCATCCAAACAAACTTTTCCAAACTCACAGATTTCTCTGCAGGGCTGGTGACTCCTGTCCTCTTCTCAGGTGCTGATGAAATCCACCTGCTGTCCCTTGTTGGGGGCAAGCACCAGAAAGAAGAGGGAGGTGGTGGGAGTCATCCAAACAAACTTTTCCAAACTCACAGATTTCTCTTCAGGGCTGGTGACTCCTGTCCTCTTCTCAGGTGCTGATGAAATCCACCTGCTGTCCCTTGTTGGGGGCAAGCACCATACGGTGTTGGTGCCCATCAGAGTATAAAGATCTGGGGAGAAGATGGGTCAGGATGAATGACCCTTGCCTGAAGCTACACCCTTTGGGAACTGGAGTTCACCAATGACTTTTCTGAATGCAGCTTTTACATCTTTGTTTCTCAGACTGTAGATTAAGGGGTTCAGCATAGGGATGACCACAGTGTAAAAGACAGACATGATCTTGTCCTCCTCTGGGGATTTGTTTGAGTTACTTCTCGGGTACATAAAGGCAAGAGTCCCAAAGAACAGGACAACAGTGGTAAGGTGGGAGGTGCAGGTGCAGAAGGTCTTGGCTCGCTCACCAGCAGACTTCACCCTCAGGATGGCTCTAATGATGAGCATGTAAGAGACCAGGATGATCGTAACATTGGCCAGGAACATGAGTTCTGCAAAAAAGAGAATGGCAATCTCACTTTGTGTCATGCTGCTGCAGGTGAGCTTCAGCAGGGGTGAGGGGTCACAGAAGAAGAAGTTGATCTCATTGTCATCACAAAAGGAGAGGGTGAAAGTGCACATGGTACGCAGGATGGCCCCCGACACCCCACGCATATAGGCCCCGGCCAACAAGCCCCTGCAGGTGCCTGGAGTCATAGCCATGTTGTAGTGCAGTGGGTTGCTAATGGCGACATAGCAGTCATAGGCCATCACTGCCAGCAGGCAACACTCTGTGCCTGCACAGATGGTGAAGAAAAAGAACTGGGCAGCACAGCAGCCATAGGAGATGACCTTCTTGCCTGTGGCTAGTGTGGCCAGGATCTGAGGGGTGATGACTGAGGCATAACAGGCATCCAGGAGGGAGAGGTGAATCAGGAAGAAGTACACTGGGGTGTGGAGTTGGATGTCTGCTTGGATTAGAATAATCATCCCCACATTCCCTAGAAGAGCGACAAGATAGAAACTGAGAAACACCAGGAAGAGCAGAACTGCCAGTTCAGGGTGATTTGTGAAGCCCACGAGAATGAACTCTGTCACAGTGGTGAGATTTCTTTCGGTCATAGACTCAATATAGCTGGTTGGCCTGAAGAGGAGAATGGAATTAGATATCCCAGAACTGAGGGCCTTTGCTTTCTTCAGTATCAGATGTTACGTGAATGTCTCAGATATTTTCTGTTCAGAGAGAGAAGAAAATATATACCATCTTAGGAATCCACAATTGGCATTTACTGTGAAGAGCTGTTACCTGTGTTTATACCACTACGAAATTGGACCTTGGGGCAGCATTTTTAAAATTCACTTGCTTATTGTCTGGAATATTCTCTGAGACCAGAGAACCTTAGGCTATCAAGTCTTGAAGGGACAATTATGGAATCCTTTTGTTCTAGAATATTCTCAGCAAATTGTCATCTGGCCCAGGTGTACACCAGGGCTGCCTCATATGGCTCCCGGCTGTGACTGAGTAACTCCAGGCAGGGCCATTCATACAGACTGTGGTGTGAATGGTGCCTCCAGAGTTGTCAGATGCAGGGCCCTGTGTTAATTCTTTATGTGAGGGGGACTTTATGGCCATTCTACCTTTGGAAAATTCTGCCAGTTGAGAAAGCCAAATTGCTCTTTCTCAGAAGAATAGTGATTACCAGAGGCAGGCAAAGGGGCAGGGGGTCGGGGGGGGGGAGGGATGGGGAAAGACTGGTACAAAGTTACAAAGTTGCGGTTAGATAGGAAGAGCAAATTCTGGCAGTCTGTCTAGGGTTCTGGCACTCTAGGGTGACAATAGCTGATAAAATTGTACTGTGTATTTCAAGATAGCCAGAAAAGAGGATCTTGAATGTTATAACCACAAAGAAATTATCAGTGTTCAGGTGACAGATATGCTAACTATTCTCATTAGATCTTTGTACAATGTATGCATGTATTGAAACAACAAACTTCTACCCCATAAACATGGACAATGAAAAAAATTGCTTTTTCTGTACCTTCCACACATTGGTATTATTCTTGGTACTGCATGTTGGGTAAAACCATTCTCTGCCAAGGCAGGTGGTGGTAATACCCACTTTTATCCAGTTGTCTCTTCTCCAAGTCAAACATTCCCAGTCATTTCAGCAATTACTTCTGAGTCCTTTCATAATCTATTTTTGCTTTCTTACGAACCAGGTCATTGCCTGTCTTCAATCTCTTTTCTTGAGAGACCCCTAGAGAAAGTGATTCTGTGGCCATCATTAGATTTATGAGGCCCTTATTTTGTGCTGGACATTTTCACATTAACTTAGTGATTCCTCCCGATAATCCTGGAATAGCCATTATGAGTTTCAGTCTTGAAATGTGTTATCCAAGTTTTCAGAAAGTTAAGGAGACTTGTCAAGGCATAAATTGTAAGTGCAGGAGCCAGGATTTACACCATCATGTCACGACTCCAGGCATTGCTTGCTCTCTCTCCCATGCTGGTCCTTTGTGAGCATAAGCCTCTACTCCAACTCTTAGCTGCTGTACTCCAGAGGTAATTCATGGAAAGGGGTTTAGAGTATTTGGTAGAACCAGTTTTCTATAGAAATCAGTTTGATTCTTCACTTTCTTTTTGACAGCTACTGATTGCTCTGGGCTCTGTTCTCCAGGATGATGCCTCTGGGGAGTGGAGGTGCAGGCTGCTCCATCAGGGATTCCAAGACTCACCGGGAGGCTGGCTAGAGTCAGGATTTAAGGACTTGTTTGTGCAATATGGGGTTCCAACTAGCCATAGAACTTCCACAGAACCTTTTAATCCTGGGGATTTCATGGGTCTGAAGGGCTCATAAGTCCTTCAGACTTAGAAAGAATACCAGCTCCACCAAATTTTTAATAATCAACAATTCTAATAAATGTGCAGAAATCAATGCCTGTGAAATCTATTGATTAGCAGTAGCTTGTTCACGGACTACCTTGGTCTCGCCCGTTGCTCGCATCTCCTTTGACCTGCTCTCATTGACCTGGTCTAATGGAAACTGAAGATGGGAGGAAGTTGTACATTACTGAACTTAAGGAGATTCTCAGGACCTTAAGGGCAGGAGTTTAGGCATCTTTTCTCCAGAGCATTGCTGTAACTGTGATTATTCTGTGCTCCAAGTGTCTGCTCCTTTCTCTCCTTATGTCAAATAAGTTTCCCATCATTTTAAAATCTTCTCTGCTTCCTCATAAATTTGACTTAAACATGGCTGTGTCTCATCACCTCATCGAGGTCCATCACCATTAGTTCCATTGAAACAAAAAAATTATTTCAGGGTTTCTTAGTTCAAATACTTTAAAAAGAAAATTTGACTTATCTAGCTGCCGCCTTTGGCAGCCAGTACATAAATTAAAAAGTTGAAGATACGTAGCCAGCCTACATGTTAACTGCTTTGTCCAAAGGGACAGTTACATGACACAAAATGTAAGTTTCATGCCTTCAGCCTGGGCTGTAGATGGGGCTGGGATTGTGACATCTCTTCTAAATTTGTCCTTACTGTGGCCATAACTCACTTTGGAACTTTCTAGTATATACATCTTGAGTTGTCATCCAAATCTATTATTCTATTCTATGACTTAATAACTCCTTCCCTTGTGGAAGCATTTTCCATAATTTAGTCACAGTCCTTTTTTTTGTATATAAATTTAGAAGTACAAAATCCATGCTTTAGGACATGCTTCACTAAATGATTTCCAAGTACTCTTTTTGTTATGCCTATCTCTGAATCATAAGTCTGTAAATATAAGTTTCTTTAAAGCTCCTTGAAAGATTACTCTGAGTGTTTGAATGTGTGAACTAAATAACCAGCAAATTCAGATTTCTAAATAATCATATGCTTTATGAACTTATAGCAATATCTCACTACCTAGTAGAATTTATGCTGTCGTGATTGGCCAACCATAGCACCTTTTCCCCTAGATGGTCACAATCTTTCAGTCCAGCTCTTGGACATGTTGCATTGGACTTCCGTAACTTTGTTCACACAGCCTGAGCACGGACACCATCATGCTTGAAGTGACCTCTTTTGCCTAGAGGGATACGTTTATCTGGCAGCTCTCTCCTGGAGGGAGGTAGCTACAACTTGTATCTATTCAAGACAATGATTGTCTCAATGGAAAAACCTACACAGTAAGAGCATTCCTGAGACCCTGAGCTTGTCTGTTAGTTTCTGTGTCCACATCTGTCCTATGCCCTACATTTCAATGTAGCATTGTGTCAGATGAGTATCTGGTGATTGGTTTCTTTTTGTCTCCAGTGTGAAGGGTTACTATGCACATGGCTGTCAGGATGGGCTCAGCAGGGACTGAGACAGTGGGACTGGTGGCTCACTGTGTTCCCCTCCATGCTTGTGGAAAGCACCCACGATTCCCCCCAGAGACCCAAGACTTACAGACACAGAGCCTTAGAGCTGGAAAGACCCTTGTGGTTCTGTGATTTTCCAGTCCTGCTCCTTAGAACCTTAACCTTCCAGAGATGCCTCCAGGGGACACAGTGGTGGGATATGAAGGAAAGGCTGAGCAGGTGGGTGCTGCCATCTCAGCCCCAGCTTCAGACAAAGCAGCAGTTCTTCTAACACTTGTAAGCAACGAGGTGCTTCCACTCATTTGGTTTGGAAACAGAATTCCACTGTTAAAAAGAGATTTGAACACACCTGGTCTACTACATTTTCTTCATTTGGCAGAAGAGACGATTGAAGCCCAGAGAAGAAGTAACTTCTACCCAGTGTGTCAGAAAACATTTCCTTCCAAATTAATCTTGGTAGGGCCTCAACTCTAGCATCTCATTTCTTGCCTCAGGAAAGGCTACAGAGTCATAAACGTGCAAACCAGGAATAATAGGTCCAGGCTGGGACCACAGGGCTGAGAGGATTGCTATAGCACAGCCGGACTCTCAGAGGCCTGGAGACAGTGTTTCCCAACTCATGACCTCCCTCTTCCTATAACATCCATTTCCACATTCCCTTCTCAAAAGCCTTTTGTGACAGATGTCTTTCTCTCTGACCTCACCAGCTAGGACAGCCTCCTCAGGAAGGATGGGCCCACTCTCCATCCGTGCTCTGGGCACTTGGTGACAGTATGGTGTCACGGGAGTAATGATATCTCTATGCCAACGATTGTCCTCTGCACTTGACATATTTATTATTGATAACTTCCTCAGCAAGATATATATTTCTATTCCCTTTGTACAGAAGACAAAATTGAAAGTTTGGGAAGATAAACAACTTGTCTGAAAGGTCACACAGACAAAATTTAAATTATGTTAAAAAATTTGGAGAGCACATTCAATAATCTCTGGAATACATTTTATCTCCCAATGAAATATAGTTACAGGATTTACGTTACCTCACAGGGGAGGAGTGGTCCTTGCGCTCCTGAGAGGAACTTCTGTGAAGCACTGTTAGTATTTTCTCCTGCTTTCTGAGTAGGTCCAAGGAGATTGCTGCTGTGGGGATCTGAAATTCATAGAAAATGCAATTACCTAACATTCCTTGAGCCAATTTTATGCATATGCTGGAAACCCGCTTTTGAACAGGCCCCTAGAAGGTAGCAGGGCCAGACCGTGTGCCCAGTTTTATCCAGAGATCCTGGATGAAATTCAGAGCTGTCCACTTCAAAGCTTCTCCAGATGGCTAACAGTTTTGACTTCTTGCTCAAACAACCCAATTAGGATCATGGAGTTTCTGAATTGTTGAGTTTTCTGATCCAATGGAATCCATTGGTGGTTTTATTATTTTGTAGATATTACCTAATATGATGCTTGTGTGAGAAGGTGATCATGACAAATGAGAGACAGAGAGACTCTCTCTTTCTACATAATTCACTGGGATGACTTACCTGCCTTCAGTGGGGTTTGTGGGAGCCCAGTCTTGTCTGCAAATCACAAATTAAAGAGTGAGACAGGGCTTCCAATTTCTGGGAGAAGCCAGCTCCTTTCAGTGAGAGTTGACTGCAGGGGTATTAGATCCCTCTCTCTCTTCATCTAGGAAAGTAAATGGTCTGGGGATTAAAAGGCTCAGGAGGGAAGTGGCTTACCCTGAATGACATCACTTCTCCTGATTCTCTGTGGGAATGAGCAT